TGTTGGAACCTCAAAACAAGACTAAAGCTGTTTTTTTCACTCAGAACCGCAATTGTCAACCTCATTGTGGCTTCTTAAAATGCATTTTAGTCCTGTTAACTCTTCGACTGATCCATGTCACTAAGTCATTACTTACATTAATTCACACATTTTAATCGTCTTTTTTATTACACTTTCAAAACACTACAATTAAACGTAGTGTGGGGTAGTGGTGGTGGACGGCTTTGGTGCGTCTGCTTTGGTGGTATAATGAGTAACTTTCTCCACTGTTTACATTACGCTGTGACCTTAACCTTTTCACTGTGTATGGGTATTTACAAAAGACTCCAGTGTAAATGTTGAGCCTTTGGAAGTTACAGAGATATTTGAACTAGGTGTGACTGAACTTGTTCTGCCTTAGGTTTTCATGCCTAAACACAGGTCAGCTTCTTCCAAAATGCCTTTGACTAGTAAGTTGCATTTTGTAAACGAACAAGACCCTCTGGTGCCTTTTTTGTTATACACAGCATATATGTTTTCTAGCCCGTTAAAGTGCTCCCATCCCACAAAGTCTTATGGGGTTTGGTTTTGTTCATAAAATGTTGTTTATGGAGCTATACATCTCTCTACCTCACTAGGTTATATACAGTAAACAAGATTCAGTCTGTCTTTCTTCAGGCTGTAAGCACAGGATATGACTCAGCCTATCATAACAACCTAGTGAGGCTGTCCAACAACATAACCTCTGACCCAAACCATGTTCTGAACAGTGAATATGAACTGCTACCATCTAATCGGAGATACAGGGTCCCACGATTCAATAAAGTCAGATTGAAGCACTCCTTTGTGCATCAGTCAATCCTCACAGTAAATACAGAGCTAAATCCCAGATCAAATGAAGGCTCTTTGAGCAGCTTTTCTCTCACTGATTGTGCTGTTATGTTAAATGTTTGTTGTTTGTGTTTCATGTATTCGTGTCTGGATATTTGTCTGTTGATGTTGGACATGCCAGTGAGATGATAGTGAACTGTTCATGAACTTGTCATGAGAAGTTCATGGAAATTCCGTGAACCATATTCATGAACAGCTCATAACAAAGTTGATGAACTGTTCATGAAAGTTCCATGAACATTAAATGGCACTAGGGCAGTTCATGAACTACTCATGAAACTCCTGTGCTGGAATGGTTCATGAACAATTCATGGAATATGGTTTTAGGCAGGTTCATGAACAATTCATGAAATGGAGTTTTCAGTGAGTGTAGGGATATTCAGTATTCAACCAAGAACATTTCAAGAATTGTTCATGAATTAACCATGGTTCATGAACATATCAAGAACTGTTCATAACAACTTCATGAACAGTTCATACCCAGTCACTGAATATAATTCAATGGCTGGCTATGAACTGTTCATGTACATGAACTGTTCATGAACCATTGACTGACTATTGTTGCCGACAGTTTAGTATTTTTAAAATACCGTTACTATGTCAAACATGCTCAAAACTTTCTGACACACTCTCCTAAACATCTCCAACATCATATCTAATTCACACAAGTTAACATCGATCATTTTCATCATGTACTGACCTGTAGAAAACAGAAAAGTGCAGCAGCAATAATTATACACAGGATCCGGTTGATCGTCTGGATTGCTTCTGACTGGAGGGGCGGAAGTGTCCCCCCTAAGATAACCCGTCACCGCTCACCTGCCAAAGGTTCCACCTTGGCGCTACTTACTCGTACTGCTTCTCAAACAGTACAGATAAACCATAAAATGATATGAATGTCACCAAAATAAATACAGATAATGTTCAGTTTCAAATGCACTATTGTTTTGTTTTAAGATTAAAAGTTTTAAAAAATAAAGAAATGTTCAAATAGTAGATGAATATTCAAGAGGTCTTTAAAATCATTACACTGATCATCAAAAGTTCATAAAATGCTCATGAATATTCAAAAATATTCTGAACTTGCCACAATCATCCAAAATTCATGAAATGCTCATAGTCATGAAAAGTTCATGAAATGCTCATGCAAACTTTTTGGGGTTTTAATTATAATTTTGTGATTGGCTGGATCATGAAAAGTTCATAAATTGCTCATAAAAGTCTGTCATGAGCAAAACAGGAACTTTATATGAATGAACAATGTTCATAAAAATTTCATGAACTGCTCTTTAAAATGGTTCATGAGCATTTTAAGAATTTTGGTTCATGAACATGACAAGTGAACATATAATGAGTTGTTCATGAATGTTTCATGAGTGCTCATGAACAGCTCATAAAGTCATGAACTCCATCTCGCAGGGGGGAGCTGCTGTGACGCAAGTCAAATTTCAGACTTTATCTGACAAATAAAGTAATATCGTATCGTATATCGTATCGTATCGTATATGGATATCAGGTATCCTTGATAAGAGTGCATGCCCTTTCACATACTTTGAGTAGACCTCTGGACAGTCCAAAGTATGTCATCAAGGATCCTCATCCTAAAACAGTGGGAAAGAAAAAACTGAATGCACAGCACTCAGTAGAGGTATAGGAATATACAACGCCTATGGTTGTGTGCAATGCTTTATGCAAAGTGAATGCTTTGATCAGCTCTGACAGCTGGAACACTGTAGAGTTTCAAGTTTGGCCTTCAGTATTTTCTAAAAGGATGCAGTTAAAGGATTAAAGTGTTTCAACAAAGTGGAATTCTAACAGTAAGAGAAATAGTTATTCCCATGTGGAATGACGCACAGCAGACATGTCTTTACCTTTTCCTGTGCATGCTCTTTGTTTGCCTGGCCATGGAGGTCAATGTTGTCTGTGACGATTATGGTGCAAAATAACTGCACAGATTATGAAAGTACTTGTCTGATCAACGTTGAACTTTTTCTTGCCTTACAATAAGATTATTGTTTTCCAAAAGTGAACGTTTGGCACATTGTTTCTGCCTTGGTGGTTGAACAGACTGCAAGCCTGAAAGAAGAACTACCGTCCAATAGCTTCTCAAGAAAAATAAAGAACCTGATGGATTACAAAAATCTGATATCAGAGATAGGATTGCATTAGACATCACTAATCAATCATCCCGATCACCATCACTATGTGTGTGAGTCACATTCACGTCAGCTTTCGAATATCCTCACGAGAGAGCCGTCAGTGCTACAATGACGTTCAACATGTCCAGAATGGAAGACAGATTGAGAATTGGATGGGGAAATAATCAATGTTCACACGTGCATGCAACTTTGCAATTGTGAACACACGTGCAGGGGCCGGTAAGGCTTTATGTGACTCATGTCATGATGAAGGTCGAAATAGAAAGAAATCATAAACCTTGAGGAGATTTTGAGATCTCCCAGATGATTGAACTGACTCCACGCTGCAGGAAGTAAGGCAGAGGTGAGCCTTGTTAAAATGTGCTAAACTTTTAACCCTGTTAACAATGGAGTGGCATCACTGACTCATTGAGATTGCTTGTGCGGTACGTTTCTTCCTCGAGCAGGTTGGCACAGGAGAGTGACACTTCATCAGGGTATTCTTTCAGTGTTTATTTTTAAAGGATTTTCCTCTGTCGGCTGCAGGAGCAGGTTGTAATGCACTGAGATCATCATTTTCACCCTGAGGAAACCTTAACAGCTATATAAACAAGCACGCACACGTCACCAATATGGCAAGTGTATACCTGCTCTCCCTCAATCTGAATGGAAAAAAGCAACCAGAGGAATGCACATACTGTATGTTTAACAGAGGTGACATTGACCAAGATACATTGATGGTTCCTTATTGGGCAATTTAAAGGGTCACTAAGTGTTATTTCAATCTAATCCTCTTCCAACTGACTTGCATGCATTTGTTCAGACATTAGGATCAAGCAGACTGAACAATGTGCACATTTTTTTTTCGCTGGTAAGGCAAGTGTGTTTGAGAATAAAAGTGAAACCAAAGAAACCCAAATGGACTCAAGAAGAGAAAGGAACTGTACATGGTCATCTTTTATAAAATATTTGTTTTATCAATTTTATTGGATTGGAATGTCTATGTTGTTGATGTATTATCTTTTTAATCTTTACACACTACTACACGTATTGCACATCTGTCTGTCCTGGGAGACAGATCCCTCCTCTGGTGCGCTCCCGGGGTTTCTTCAATTTCTTTCCCCATTAATTGGAATTCAGGAGTTTTTTCTTGTAAACTGTTTCCTCTTAATCTTGAAATCTATGCCCAACGCAGGCAATATCAAAGCCTATATCACAGTGAAAGAAGCTTTTATAATATTATCCAGGACTATATGTATCAGGTATCAGAAATTGATGAATTTAGTTTTTGTTAAAATGTGCTTAACTTTAAGGATTTGTAAGAGTCTAGTCTCAGATTATACCAGATTATTTAAATTGAGGTATTGGTGCAACAGGAAAAGAATATGAAAATCTTTCCACCAGGGATATGAGGAAATGGTTCGGATCAACTGAGTTGAGACCTGAGACCTGCAACCTACATTCAACATGCAGCTCTTTTGGCACAAATTGTGATAAACCTACCTCCAGGTCATGAACCTGCAGAAACTGCATGACTTATTGCTATAAGCTCTAACTTTAAATCAAAAAACACATTTGTATACTTTCCAGGTATTTATTTATTTACACTTTAAATTTGATATCCATGAAAATGTTGTGGCTCAATATTACACAATCCCCGCTAATACTCTTATGAAAGAGTTCAGAGGTCCTTCTGATAAAAGCTTGCATGCAAGAGAGTAAGACATTTACAATACTAAACTTTACAGGATTCTACCAGCAATTTGACAACAACATTACTTAAGGAAGTTATGTATGTGCTATGATGACATGACAACAAAGAAATAGTCACTTTGTTGGTCCACTACAGAATTATTTTTTTAGCGCCATAATTTCATGTGACACGTGACACATGTAACTCATTTACTTATGGGGACAGACCGTATTTGAGACTGGAGTTTGAACTCAAATATATAGGGAATCCTCTAAATACTGTCATTCGGTAGGCATCAGGCAATCCTGCTGCCACTCTTCAGCATGGGTGAGTGAATGGCAGGAAAATGATTGAGTTGTGGATAGTATGATACCAACATTTTAAAATATTAAATAATATTAATATAATTTAAATACGTCTTACCAACAGAAACTGGATCTTTATCCTTAAACTTGTGAGCGCACGTCTAGACAATTTGAAAAGAAAGATGTCTTTTGTGTTATTTAATATCTCTTCTAATTTCAGGAACCATGCTATTGCATCGTGGAATATTTGTATTCCTCAGTGTTTGTCTGATTTCCTTCACACCACCTTGTGATGGAGGAAACATCCTTGTGTTTCCTGTGGACGGCAGCCACTGGATCAATATGAAGATCCTGCTGGAAGAACTTCATGCCAGGGGACACAGCATCGATGTGATAAGGGCCTCCAACAGCTGGTACATCCCAGAAAAGTCTCCCCTCTACACATCCATTACCATTGAAATTAATGAAGGCTTTGAGGACTTCTTTGATGTGTACCTTCAGGAGCATATGCGGGTAGGAAATTATGGATAATGTAATGGAGACAAATTGTATTCTAGTCATTCACATATTAAGTTGATTACTGATCACCACTTTAAAACATTTTCTTTTGCAATCTTTCAGGCGCAGAGAGAGGGTGCATCGGCACTTACTTTCCTCAAACTCACCAAGGATTTCCTCTCTATGATTGCTCATGCTCATTCAATTTGGTCTTATGCCCTCCCTCAAATCTTAGATGATGAAATAATGGTCAAAAGCTTGAAGGATGCCCAATATGATCTTGTTCTCACTGACCCAGCTATTGCACCAGGGGTTGTATTAGCAAAGTATTTGAAATTGCCTTTGGTGCTCAATGTTCGCTGGATCACCAGTGGAGAAGGCCACTTTGTGATAGCTCCGTCACCATTGTCCTATATCCCAGTTCCAGGATCAGGATTAACGGACAAAATGACTTTTTTCCAGAGGGTGAAGAATATTTTTTTCTATGGCATCATATTGTTCCAGCAGGAATTCTTGGTGGGGCCGGTCTATGATGCCATGTGTGAGAAATACATTGAGGGTGGATGTGACATCATTTCGCTTCTCCAAGAAGCAGACATTTGGCTGTTCAGGTCGGATTTTGTGTTTGAATTCCCTCGGCCAACAATGCCAAATGTCATCTACATAGGAGGGTTCCAGTGCAAACCAGCCCAACCACTGCCAGCAGACCTGGAGGACTTTGTTCAGAGTGCTGGGGAGCATGGAGTAATCATCATGACTCTGGGAACGTTGGTGAATGCTTTGCCCAAAGAGGTAGCAAATGAAATCGCCAGCGTCTTTGCCAAGATGCCTCAGAAGGTAACACATGCTCAGAGATTCAATTTTGTTATTTCATGAAATGTTGAAAACTGCTAGCCGATAATCAGTAATAATCAGAATAAAGCAAAAGGATAATACTAAATTGCATAATTGATAGTTATCTAATAAGTGGGGACAAGCTGAAGCAAGGGAATCGTCATTATGTTGTAAAACTAAATACAATGATTTCATTTTCTGATCAGGTGATATGGAGGCACAAAGGTGAGCGTCCTTCTACTTTGGGCAACAACACCCTGATAGTGGACTGGATGCCGCAGAAAGACCTCCTTGGCCACCCGCAGACAAAAGTCTTTGTAGCTCATGGGGGAACCAACGGCGTACAGGAGGCCATTTACCACGGGGTCCCTGTGCTCGGTATACCATTGTTCTTTGACCAGTATGACAATCTTCTACGTCTGCAACACAGAGGCGCCGGAAAGATAATTGAGCTAGCTGATGTTAGCGGACACAGTTTTGAGCAAGGCATAAATGAAGTGCTCCATCACGACAGCTACAGACAGAACATGCAAAGACTGTCACGTTTGCACAGAGATCAGCCAATGACCCCAATGGATCAGGCCACCTTCTGGGTAGAATATGTGATGCGTAATAAGGGGGCACCTCACCTGCGTACAGAGGCTTATAAGATGCCCTGGTACTCGTACTACGGTTTAGATGTACTGCTACTATTGCTGACTATAGCGACTGTACTGCTGTTATTGACATTTGCCATGTTCAGGTTCCTATGCTGCAGAGCTAGACGGTCGACAAAATCCAAAAAACACTGATTACGGTTGAGTTTTTTTTTAGAAATAGGATACAATGAGTTCGGTAAAGCATTTTTTAGACAAAAAATACATCTAAAGGCATCTCATTTGTTTCTATTTATTATTTATAAAGTAAAATGACAGTTAGTCATTTAATGTATCCACCTAAAATAAAGATATTGTTAAAGAAATGTAGCACCTTCACTTTTTTAGAATCGCTTGTCAAAGGTTTGTGGACAGATTAAGATTTTTATTTTAAAATACCCACAAATCAATTGTGATTGTGTGATTAAGCAGAGTCATTTGGCAAATGTATACCTGCTCTTTAGATTATTCAACTATTTGTTTTTGTTGAACAGATTTACTTTTATCTTTGATCTTTCTAGCAGGCAATTATTAACAACGGTCAGTCCAAAGACCTTTGTCCATCCTAAGAGCCTTCAAGGCAGACACAATATAAATAATTGTTTTCTTCAGTTGCTCTTCAACCTTTGTCTACTTTAGGTAATCACATACCAGGGAACATGATGATCGTCCACTCTTAACTCACTATAACAAGTCAACCCAGTCTCATGGCATTTCGTGTTCACCAACACGATTTTTAATCTATTGATTCGTGTTCACCAACACGATTTCCCCCTTTTTTTCATGTTGCACAGCACGATTTTAAAAGCAATGTATTTCTACTGGTAATGACGCTCATGGAAGCACGGCATTCGTTTGTGTCGGCTGCCCTTAAAGGCAATGTGAGCGTCCATTCTCATTGGATAACGGAGAATTGTACACCCGGAAGTAAGTATTCCCCTTACTGTCGATTGATTTTACAGTGATATCTGCACTACTCATCGACTAAAAAACACCAGATTATCCTTGTTAATTACACAACATTGATTGGTTTAAATTGTGTGCAATGCTTTTGTATTTTTCCCCTTCGATTCGGAGAAACAAATATTTTTTCGGAGTAAAGGATAGCAGAAGACAATACACTACCCAAAATCCCCAGCTATCGTTTGGACTACACCATGTGCTCTGTTTGACAAACCCTGTGATAGTCCTCAAGCTCTGTGATTGGAGAGTGTGCTCCGAGGGTTACGCCGAGCCTCGAACAGCATTTGAAATGGGATGGAACCACGGCAGACTGTCCAAAACTGGATTTGAACGGGTCCACCGCGTCCCCCCCTCCCCCACCCCGTCCCCAGAACTACACATGCTGGCTATTCTGTTTCGCAACATGTTCTCTATCTATGGCACGTCTCTACTGGGAGTTGTAGTTTTAAAAGACGTTTTCATATTTCCCATAATAAGAAGTTGTGCCCATAATGGGCAGCATTAATATATATACACACATGCCAGCTAAGGTCAGAAGAGCTTTATTTAACAGCTGGTCTTATGTTTGTGACCCCTGTTGTTAATTGATAACATTACATCACATTAATTGATAAGCCTGAAACATGCACTTGTCAAGGTTCAGAGGCAAATTTTGCAAATATGGCAGTAGCCATCGATCAGCTTAAGATAAGATGTACTTTATTGATCCCAATTTGGAACATTTGCGTTACATCAGCATGTGTAACAGTTGTAAATATGCAGTGGTGTTTATTTGTAAATCATTTAGTATAATCACACAAATTCTGTGTTTTATATTTAACAATTCTGTGTTCTTTATTTATTGATTGTTCAATACCTGACAAGGCCGGAGATGAAATATCTACATACATCTTATAAGAGTATAATACATTATGTATAATATCAGTTAAAATAAGTGCTTCGCTGGAGGTATGCACAAATATTGATAGATGTCTTGTAATGCACTATTGAGGAACCTGCGACCCAAGTTTTTCATTCAATGCATAACTACACCATAGTTGTGTAGGCCTATATGATATGTCAAGAAACCTTAGAAAATCTTGAAAGGGATGTGCAAAATAGTCATTATATACAGTCTTTAATGAACTATTAGTAGAGAATAACGAGTAATGAATATACTTTATAGGGATCCTATTAATATCTAATAATACAAATAATGAAATTCAATAACATGCTTTAACCACTAGGTGTCCCTTTATATCAGCTGTGCACCTTTATGGTGTAAATACAGCCTATCTACCAATTGGATCAAATATAAAAGTCAGCCGAATTAGTGTTGATACTGCAAGGAGACGTATTGTGTGAAAAGAAATGTAAGATGTTGTTTAATGGCTGATATATTTATGATCCACGTCACGTTTTCAGTTCCTCATGTTTGTCTAGAATCTTCTCATCAGGGCTCTATAAATACAGAACTACGGCAGATATGTAATATTTAATGCAGCCGAACCGTGTATTACAATGCCGTTATGTGATGACTTTCAAAGAGAAAAGCAAGCACACTCGGAATAAAGTATTATTATATTTTTAAAAAAAAATGTTTTCGGTCTGTTTCCGGTATTTGTTAATGACGATGTGCTCTGAGATGTGAGACTGGAATTGCACAGGGGAAAATAACGTAGGCTATCTTTAGATGCGGATTTTGTTAAACTAATATGTTTGCGCTGTGGACCAACACTATACATTGACGGGGAAGGGGGTAGCAATAAAGATAACACCATTAAACAGTTACACAACATAACAGAAATAATATCGATAGCAGCGTCCCTAGCAACCACCTTGGTAACAATGAAAACGTTCTATGGACGCAATTTCCTGAAGTAATCTTCGTAATAACTAGCAAACTAAAGATCATGTACATCCACTGCACACATAATCTGAAATAACAACTCATATTTCTCGCATCAAATGACATCAAAACGCATTTTAATGGCCAAACTAACTTTAAAATAGGCATTTTCCACCGAGAATAAAACGAAGTTCGGCCATGTTTTTTTTTTCTGCAGGGAGAAATTTGAAGATCACGTGACATAGACGCCAGCCATTGGAATGAATGGTGAAAAAAACGGGGTTTGTCAAACAGAGCACATGGTGTAGTCCAAACGATAGCTGGGGATTCTGGGTAGTGTAGTGTCTTCTGCCATCCTTTACTCCGAAAAAATATTTGTTTCTCCGAATCGAAGGGGAAAAATACAAAAAAATGGCACACAATTTAAACCAATCAATGTTGTGTAATTAACAAGGATAATCTGGTGTTTTTTAGTCGATGAGTAGTGCAGATATCACTGTAAAATCAATCGACAGTAAGGGGAATACTTACTTCCGGGTGTACAATTCTCCGTTATCCAATGAGAATGGACGCTCACATTGCCTTTAAGGGCAGCCGACACAAACGAATGCCGTGCTTCCATGAGCGTCATTACCAGTAGAAATACATTGCTTTTAAAATCGTGCTGTGCAACACGAAAAAAAGGGGAACATCGTGTTGGTGAACACGAATCAATAGATTCAAAATCGTGTTGGTGAACACGAAATGCCATGAGACTGGGTTGAACAAGTATAGTATAGCACCCAGAGTGGAAAAAAAATCAAATTAACATTTTTGCCCTTGTGAACCATAATGGTCAGACCTAATGATCAATACATGTCATCTAGGCCCTCATGAAGTGCGCCGGACGTGGAAGCAAATGTTCGTAATGGCCAAACGGCGGTACTACAACTTCCGTTTCAGTTTGTGACGTAACTGGGCCGAAATAACTTTTTCCCATTGACTTACATTGGGAAAGAGACTTCTGTAAATCGGTGGATAGTTTAAAAAAAAATGCTCCATGGGCCACGTACAGTTACTTTTGCTCTCATCAGGCAGGCATGACGGCTAATTTGTGAAATGTTCTCTCGAGAGCATCAGGCCGTTTTGTTTTCATGTGCCTGTGAGCAACCATCATAGGTATGATTTTAGTTTTTGTACTTTAAGTATATTTGGATGCTAATACTTTTTTACTTTTACTTGAGTAACATTTTGTATGCAGGACTTTTAATTGTAGCAGAGTATTCATACACTCTGGTACTTGTACTTTGACTAAAGTAGAAGATCTGAGTAGGCTACTTCTTCCACCTCTGCATAAAAGTTGTGCCACAGTCAAATAGCTAAAGTAATTATTCTCTTGGTGGTCACTCTCAGTTGAATTAATGTGTAAGCTGCAATCAGCTATTTTAAACTCACCTACAGAGGTGGAAAGTTAATTTATAAAAGTAGGCTACTGCATAAACTTTAGGTATCTCACTTTACTCTTCTACTCACGGGACATTTTTCTGCACAAGGTAATTTAACTTTTGCCATTATTTTCCAAATAACCCTTACACACATTTAATTAAAGGTAGGGTAGGTAAGAATAGAAACCAGCTCGAGTGCGCTAGAATTTGAAACTACGCAGCCGAAAAAAATCTGCCCCTTCCTTCAGACTTCCTTACAGAGCCCCTCCTCCAACACACACAAACGCGCACATGACCAATGAGGGCACAAGATAAGTTTGTGCACAGATGGAAGGCTGACAGGCAGGTAGACCATCCAGTTATTTTAGCCGGGCCGGCTAAAATGATTGGTTGTGCTTTTTACAGTGCTACGGCTTCCACAGATGACATTTTGTATGTATTTATTGTCAAAGCATTTCATGTATTTATTGCTATCGGGATGTTAAGAGCATTCCATGGAATATAACAAAAGGTGTATCTGAAGTGAATTACATACCCCACGGGTAGGTACATTTGAGAAACCGGCTCGAGATACACTTTTTGTTATATTCCATGGAATGCTCTTAACATCCCGATAGCAATGAATATTTTAAGTGCTTTGACAAAAAATCCTTTAAAAAAAATGTAATCTGTGGAACCGTAGCGCTGTAAAAAGCACGACTAATCATTTTAGCCGGCCCGGCTAAAATAACTGGATGGCCTACCTGCCTGTCAGCCTTCCATCTGTGCACAAACTTATCTCGTGCCCTCATTGGTCATGTGCATGTTCGTGTGTGTTGGAGGAGGGGCTCTGTAAGGAAGTGGCAGATTTTTTCCGGATGTGTATTTTCAAATTCTAGCACACTCGAGCTGGTTTCTCCAAAATTACCTACCCCACCTTTAAGTAACATTTTCAATGCAGGATTTTGTACTTGTGGTGGGATATTCTTTACATTAAGGTATTAAGCTACTTTTATTTAGGAGAAATATATGAAAAATGTCCTCCACTGCTTTTAGATAACATCGCTCAGGTCAACTGAGTTCAGTCCTGAGACCTGCAA